GCTATACTCTTCAAACAATGTGATCATACATCTATTTGTTAAGACATTATATGTGAAAACCGGAAGTTCGGGAAGGACAAATATGAAATAAAGGAATCCAATTATAAGAAAGATAATGAAAAGAAAAAAAGATAAGATTGAAGACAACCATGGTAATACGATAAAATAAGCATTACTAGGGTGGACTTAGCGTAAGCACAAACTGTTTTTGCACACACACAATGGGGGGTTAAATTTATTTATGGCTAACGCCTCAACAAACTTAACTATACGCCATTGACAGTTTCTGTACAAAATTGTAAAGGCTGTTTTAATATTAATCTTGTGTTCTTTATTAATGATATGTTTTGTAATGGATGATGATTTGCTGTCTGTCATCTGTGCCCAGCAATGTCTGTAAATCCATCTGTTTTTATAGCCATTTGGTATATGTTCCCCCACTCCCAAGTACATATCACGTTTATTCCTGCCTATGTATGTTCTTCCAAACATACATGTAAATTTATAAACGCAGTGACATGTGACGCAATCCTTTATAGTGCGCTGAGGTCCATGTTGCAGCAGGCCTTTTGGTCTTCTCAACTATAGGAGCATTGGACAGCTGTTTCGTCCTAGTATGGGACTCCTCAGCAGTGCGCACCCACGACCCAGCCAGGGATCGATCCCTAAAGTTACGAGTTTTACATGATAGAAACCGGTTTACAGGCCTCATCAAATTGATAATTACAGAGAAAATTAAAAGGTTTGAGCAGTTTTGAATGGTACAGAAGGAGGACATTAAACTCTATCATGATAAGAAGTGTCTAAATATTATGAAAATAGGAGGAAAATATCACTTTGCAGTACATACATATCGTTCTGAGTTTAAATCATTCCTACTCACAATTCTTATTTCACATCAAACGGCTCAATATTCGGTGTTTGCGTTATGAGTAGTCGACGTGATTGACCCATCTGCAAAATCCACAGTGTTTCTTCAGATAAACGTCTAATTTAACAGTAACTCTTATGTTCGTAGCTTTACTGACCAACAATAACTTCAATGATTTCAGGAATAAGTAAGTATCCATACAATCATTTAATCCAGGTGAACATCTAAGTTCAGGTATTTTTCACTCTTCAAGTGTTACCTTTCACAGAAATTCAGATTAGTAATACTGAAAGCATTTATTGTGGTACAAGTAACTGAAGAATGGGAGAATCATCGTTCAACAGTGGTGAATATTACACATGTGTAAAACTTCATATACTTCATATTAAAGTATGCAGCATTATCAGAGAAATACATTGGCTATTAATTGACTTCTATTAGATGGACTGATACAAGACAAAGTACTAGATAAATCTCTTGCATAGCATTATTATTGCTGCGTTGCCATAAGGTAAAGTTATCTCTCGGGCTTGATTGTTTAACCAGATTTCCACTGTATTTGTGATGGACCAGAAATCGGAATCCGGTTATTGTGCTTGGGGTTTCATATGTGCTTTTATTTAGGGTACAGGTAGGAAGGTGAGTTGGTTGTGAAGCTGTTCAGGAAATCGGGGGCAAGCCATTTGAACAATTTTAATATCAGTCTCCAATATTTGAGAGAAATATGTTTGGAAAATTCTCTTTAGCTTGTTTTTAGTAAAATGACTACATTTTAGTGAACATTTTTATACGTATGTTTACAGCGAAGATTAGGTTCTTCTACAAATCACCTTCTTTGGCTAATACGTTGTAGATTATATTATGAAGATTCAGATATGTATCTCGGTAGGAATTTGTCAGCAAAATAAATTAATACTTGGTTAAAGAAGGACAAATAATAACTTTTTTAATGGGTATTAAATGAGAACATGCTAGATGAAGACAGTGTTGAAGATCTTTGCACAAAACTATGCTAAAACTTCTGTTATTTCAAAATTAGTTTTCAAGAACTCTTGACTTTCACTAACTACAAAATTAAACACAATTTATGAGATTATCTACTATTTTAGGAAGAAACATCATTGATTTTTCTCAGGTTTGAGTTCTTTTAGATCGATTCATTATGGAAGCGTAATCATAGTTCAACCTTACCCTTGTATGTTAACCTTTTCGATTAAAAGATCATTGTCTGCATAAGGAGGTGTAACGAGAGTCATCTGGTTTCTTCAATAAAGGATAAACAAAATATTTTCTTCGTCAAGAAAATTTAGCTTATTTTTGTAATACTAAAAATGTAGAAAATTTCTCTTTCACTAACTTTTATGGAGTAACACTTTAAGCATGACGCCTTTTTTTGACGGATTTCACTAGGTATAACATTTTATAGCATGAGCATCAGATTTAAAGCATTAAACTTAAATATAAAGTGAACAAAGATCTGTTGTAGATACAGAAAATTAATTCGGTTCTTGGACGATAATCATGATTCATCAGAGATTTTTGAACCCTAATTCTGAACGAAACTTGTTCCGTTTTAGTCTTTGTAGAAATATTCATGGGTAGCATTTCAGAATTAAAATCGTATTTCAGCAGAAATTTAAACGATTTTCGGTTTCAGTCTCTTGTCATTGGAAGCATGATATCAGTAGAAATGTCTTGTTATATATTCTCCACATGGCTGTATTTTATAACCAAGACTGAAGTCCAAAGGAAGTATTTTCGTAAAATTCAGGATCAAAATTTGACCTGAAAGAGTTGAAGTGGTTGAGCATTAAGTAATTGAATGATAAATGAAATATATTTTGTAAAATCCAAAGGAAGTAGAAAAAAAATAAATTTCTGACGTTTTGCAACATCGTGGAAATCGCCTCTTCAGAGAATAAAACCTTTACAAGTTAACGAATAGTTTAAATAGTAAAAGGTGACGAATCAGATCACATTGTCGTCCATTTATCATTATTATTATTGGTCCCTTGAGTTCCTAATGAAATATAGGGCTTCAGCAGCACGTCTCCATTACACTCTCTTCTCTGAAATATTTTCAACCTCGCTCCACAACTGCCCAAAACCTCTCATTCATTCCTCACACCATCTCCTCCAACACCATATCACCCTCACCTCGAAAGCCCAACTCATCACTCCTCATCTGGGTTACAATAGACAGCCTGACATGGCTGGTCTGGTGCGTGATATCCCCAAATGGTTTCCTCAGTGCATACCCAGTCCAATCCATCTCCACTCCCTCCTTCAACACATTTCTTCAGCAATAGCTTCCTGGTTGGTTCGTTGACATCCAGCCAGCCAGCCAGCCAGCCAGCCAGCCAGCCAGCCAGCCAGCCAGCCAGCCAGCCAGCCAGCCAGCCAGCCAGCCAGCCAGCCAGCCAGCCAGCCAGCCAGCCAGCCAGCCAGCCAGCCAGCCAGCCAGCCAGCCAGCCAGCCAGCCAGCCAGCCAGCCAGCCAGCCAGCCAGCCAGCCAGCCAGCCAGTTAGAGTCAGTTCCTTGTTACTTATTCTCACCATTCTGGCAATCCATCTGATCTTCAGTAACGAGTCAGTGTAGGTGTCAGTTGTTGATGAATATGTGTAGTTTGTTGGAAATGCTTTTGGTGATGCGCTGTCAAGTCTCTGAGCCATACAGAAGCATTGATTTGACGTTTGTGTTGAAGTCCGCATCTTGTTCTACATGTTGAGTGCAGTGCAGTAGATTTCCACACTGGTTTCAAGGTAATGAAGGAAGGTGTGTCTTGCTGTATTTCCGATGCTGGCTGCTTTGACGTCCTCGTCTGTGTCGCCACCACCTGTATTTGAAATAGTGCTGCTTAGATAGGTGAAAGAAGCTACTACCTTTAAGATTCTTCCGTTGATGTTGATTGGAGCTTGTTGATTGGGTATCATCATCACCTCTGTCTTCTCGACGTCTTCGCCGCCTTTTCTGTCAACTTGTTAGTTTTCGCCAGTAGATCTTCAAGTTTGTGTGACATCAGACACAATTCATCGTTGGCAAAATCCAAATCTTCTAGGATCTTTCCCCGGTCCAGCATATCCCCATCTTCTCTCTACTCACTGTTTGCTGCATGATCCAGTCGACCACAATCAGGAATATCATGGGTGATAGTAGACAGCCTTGTTTTTTACTCCTGTCTTCTGTCTTCAAAAGCATCACTGAGCTGTCCATTATGAATTACTTGGTATGTGGCGTCTTCATGTAGTTGTTGAATGAGATTGATAAATGTTTATTGTATTCCGTAGTATTGAAGGAACTGCCTGGCAAATAACTTGTTGGTCGACGCTGTCGAATGCCTTTCCAAAGTCGATCAAGTTGAGGTGAAGGAGAGAGTTGGCTGTCATTCTGTACTCTGTTCTATGATGATTCTTAACCGTAGCTTTGCAATTTGATGCTCACATTATTTGTACTTCCTGAATCCAGTATAAGAGAAATCATACTATTTAATAGTTATCGTTGTAAATGGATACAGTTACGTACAAGAAATTATAAAAACAGGATGAGTGACATAGATACAGATAATATTGACTAGTAAGAAGAATAAGAAGAAATAAACATCTCTGGTTAAAAGATCCTATGGACCCCCTTAGATTGTAAGGTTAAGTATAAAGGTCAAAGTAGTCGATCGTGGTCAGTTAGCATAACAGAGTAAAAATGCTTGACTGAAACATGAATCGTAGACCCTAGTAATGCCAAAAGAAAAAAAAATTTACCGAAAATGTCAATGATTTCGAAGTATGCAATCACACAAAAGAATAAGATAAACTGACAAGATGTATTTTAAAAGTTGCTTAGAACATATACTAATGATTAACAAGTGTAATTTTAAAACCTGTTTTATATCTTTTTCAGTATATTTTGTATTAAATATTTTACTTCATCAATATTTTTCAGCATATTTATGAAAAATACTTCAGTTCTGTTGAAATCATATTCATATAAGCATCATTTTGGAATTATTATACATCTGATTCATATAATTAAACATTAATAGACTATATTATCAATCTTAGATGAATTCTTTTTCTTACTGATTCGGTGGTGCATTCAAAAAAGAAAAAAAAATCTCAGGTATACTTTACAGTTAATGACTGAATATTCAAGTGTCAATGGATTTAGTTCAATTGTTGATAATCATAAACGTTCTACCCTAATGAATTTACAACGACTCAGTATAAACATTAATCGAAAAAGCTTAATCCCATTTTTCGATATAATAGTAAGTGTAATTACTCTTTAGATTTTCAATATATTTAATTTTCTATTGAATGCTTATATACTGAAGCTTTATACTGTTCATAATCTGTTAATTTTGCTGAGAAATGGTATGTTTTTAACAAAAAACGTTTTATTTCAATTAACTGCAAGTCAATCACAATGTGAAGTTTCATTTCATGGTTTATCAGAAATTTGAGGGGAAGTATCATGAAATATGCTTTATTATAACTTCAGTATGGTAAAAGCCAATGATTTCTCTATTCGGTGTGCAGCATTCTGGTTCAAAGTAAGAGACATTTCGGTTACTGATAACTTTCATACATGAGTAGATTACACATATGAATTATATCTCTTTGGAGGGCATATTAGAATAATTGCTTAAAGCGTTGCTAGAATTTGGGTGAGGCTGAAAGCTATCTCCAGATGTTGCTAATAATAATAATAATAATAATAATAATAATAATAATAACAATTCACCTTATTCCAAACAATTTGTAGTACAATTTGGAATTCTCAGCGTAATATATATTGTAATAACAAAATATAAGTATAAACATACTACTTTGCAGCCTTTCAAATTGTTTTATGGTAAAAATTTAAGTTATGTGATGAATATTAAAAACTGTCACAAAGTTGATGTGTGATTTCTGTTCTAACACTTTTTTTTCTCACAAAATATACGTGCAAGGTAAGGTACAGTCGAATTCTTGTACTCAGCTGTACGAGCATACAGTCTTATGTAGTTTCTCCTTGTCCTCCCTGAGGAGATACATGGAGAGGACTGTAAATGAAGTGGATGCTCAGTGTCAGTTAACATTTCTGTAGCTAGTAGCTTGCAGGAATTTATATGTCGATCAACTATAGTGTTAATCAGTTGAGCTAGAGACACACCACTCACCCTGCTGACGGTCTTCAAAGCCCTACGCTACGTAACATGGTCCTTTTTTAGAAGACCAGGAAAGATTAGTGGGGAACAATATAGAAGAATAGGTAAAATGCAGGAATTAATAAATTGTAAAAGAAGCAGTTGAGTTATACCAGAAAGCCTCAATTTCTTTATGTAATAAGTTAAACGAAAGATTTTTTCAAGTAAAAGGCAACCCAAGATAGTTCACACTCGATTTACTTTCTGTAGAAATACCGCTGATGCAGCAGGCGTCATGAGATTTAAGCAGCTCACATAAGTCTTGTTTACACCTGAGGCTAAAATTAACGGTCTGACATTTAGAGGGGTTTAGTTTGAGACCATCTGAGAGAGACCATTTACCAACTTCAGACAAGAATTCATTTAATTTCGAGCAATTCAAAGAAGAGTTTATTGGAATAGAAACCGTCAGGTCATCAGCATACTTGATAAAATTAGTTTCAACAGAATAAGGCGAATCGTGCAAAAAAACGAAAACAGAAAAGGAGAAAGTACAGCACCTTGAGGCACACCAGCTTCAGTAAGCAATGAAGTGGAGCGTATTCCTATATGAATAGTGCACTGTTTCCTTTCAGAAAAATAAGAATGCAGCCATTTTGTAACCCATGGATCAGTGTGAGCTATGGTAAGCTTATTTAACAAAAGTGGTCTAGGAACAGAGTCAAAGGCTGATGAGTAATCCAAAAAGGCACAACGAACATACTTAACACCTTTGTCGAGACTAGAAACAATATTATGATGCAAGACAGTAGCTGCATCTAAAGTACTCTTCCGGTGTTTGTAAGCAAACTGTTTTTGGATCTCTGAAGGCCATCAATGAGGGCTCAATCACAAGCAGAAGTAATTTCTCCATTGTCTTCAGAAAAGGGGAAGTTATAGCGATGGGTCGGAAAGTAACATCTGATCCAGAAGATGGCTTAGGCACAGGTACAATTTTTATCTGCTTCCAAGCAGTGGGTATTATGTTTTTAGAAAACGATACATTGAAGATTTCTGTAACTGGATGACATAAAATATATGCACATTTTCTAAATATGATACTAGAAACACCATCAGGACCTAATCTTTGGGAGGGATTCAAAGAATTTAGACATTTAAATACATCATTTGTATTGAAACCTGGAAAGCAGCTATCCACTTGATTTTGCACATTAGGAAGGGTGAAATTAGTTTGCAGACGTATAAATGACTTGTTTAACGCACAGACATCCGAACGAGTGTTCCCCATACATTGTCCAGTTGTTTGTGGAGATATCAACATTTTCTGTGTTTTCGTATGAATATTTTAACTATTTGGATGGTTTTTACAATGCCATCTGTCAATAAATAGTGTTTCAAACTGTTAATTTTATGTTCAGTGTTGGCTACACTTCCACTTCGTAGGTGGAAAGTAAGTACAGTTATTAAGGATAAATGATGCTCACGGATCACATTGAGTTAGTTGGGATTTCAACTTACGTCCAAAATAAGGAATTAGGATTGCGGTTTTTGCTTCAGAATATATATTCACAAAAGACATAAAAAATATATTTTCAGACAGTATTCTATAACATTTGGGGATAACTTTAAGTCTCACCCAAAATGCAACAGTTGTATGCTAGCTATTATCATCTTCCAAGTGATGACTAGGCACTAAGTTGAACAGAACAGCAACTACAATGAACAAACAACATCAACAGCATCATAAAGGATTATGTTCATTTCAAACTTAGCTCATCAATTTACTTCACAATCAATAATCACCTTTGGTTTGAGTCTAGATAGTCACTAGCATAATGGATAACGCTGTGACTTTTTAAGGAACCAACCCCCAGTTTAAAACCTTAATGAAAACATCCATCTGATGGGTCCTAAATAGGATGAAACACCCTGGATTCCAGTATTAGTCAGTCTCATTTTTATACCAGTGTAGTAGTACATGATTTGATCTCATTAAATCTCTGTTTCTGGTGTCATCGCATAAATGCACTTTATATTCTTCAATAAAGATTATTGATTGGGCTAAGAGTTACATCGAATGTGTTTAACATAATAATCTTTTCATTCCAATCAGTGATAGAAAGGTCTAAAACAAATATTAATTTATTTTGAGGTTATCACAGATTTTTATTTTTAAGGTAGCATTTATCATCAGTTGGAGAACTATTGGAAACCTGAGAGTACCAGACACCTGTTTCATCCAACTACAGGACTCTTCAGCAGGGTACACTCACGACATGAGTAGAAATCGAACTCTGAACCTTCGGGTTTCACAGCGATCGCGTTAACCCATTCAATCAGTGTGTCGAATTTTACTTGTTCGCAGCTTCCTAATTACGTTAATTGGTGATGCTGTCACAAAAATAGAATCTCGATTAACCTGGAACTATATTGCTATCAAGTGCTCTCTAGTGGCACGGTTACAGATGGATATCCTGAAGTTCAAATAAGAAGCTGTAACCTATGTGGTCTACCAGTTGAAAGTGAAGTGGTTGCCAGCTAAAGGCCTTGGGTGATAATTACGCTTTGTCACTAATTGACAGAAGTTGAAAATTGTGGACCACTACCCAGTGGCTGCATGCTTGAGGCGTTCGGCTTAAAAGTCTGTATGTCATGAGTTTTATTCCAGGTTGGACGTATTGTTGAGGAGTCCCGTAATTGGGGAAAACAGCTGTCTATTGCCTACGCGTATCTAATGGTCCTCCGACTGAAGAACTATTTGAAAATGTTTTTAGATGGCCTGTTTATAAACACTGCGTCTCCTTATCCTCAATAAGACTCTTAAAAGTGTGGTGGACAATCATTTCAGTGTTAGTTTCAGCAGGCATACAACAGAGACCTAGAATCGCATTTACTATGAACTAATTTATGTGTGTACTACTCCATATGGTCGTTTATTCATATTACAAAGCTTTGTTCAGGATTTCGATGAATGTCATAATTTGCAGAAATATCATTTTTGAACAACTGAATAATATGAACAATTACAAATAATGACCGAAGTATTTTAATCTTATAAGTGAAAATAGAGAAGACGGGACTTCCTTCAAGTGAAAGTAGAGAAGACAGAAGTGCTGAAGATACCCAGCCAACACCAACACCACCACCACCAACAACAACAAGCTCTAATCACCATCAACGGAAGAAACCTAAAGAAAGTAGCCTACTTCACTGAAATAGGCAAGGCTGCATCCTTTCAACTACAGGTGGCACAGACACACACGAGGACGTCAAAGCAAGTCAGGATCAGAAAGACAGCAAGACACACCTTCCTTCATTAACCTGAAACCAGTGTAGACATCTACTGCACTACACTACACTACACTACACTATACTACACTCAACATAAAGCGTGAACAACATCCCGATTTCCAACACCAATTCAGTCAAGTGAGCCAGTGCAGTGCTTCTATATGATGGTTGAGAGACTTGTCGGCACGTTACGAAATTGATTTCCAACAAACTACACACATTCATCAACAACTGCCACCCACACTGGCTCGTTACTGAAGATCAGATTGATTGCCAGAATGGTGAGAATAAGCAATAAGGAACTGACTCTAACTGGCTGGCTGGCTGGCTGGTAACGAACCAACCGAGAAGCTATTGCTGAACAAATATGCAGAAGGGGGGGGGGGAGTGGAGATGGATTGGACTGGGTATGCACTGAGGAAACCATTTGGGGATATCATGCGTCAGACCAGCCATGTCAGGCTGTCTATTGTAACCCAGATGAGGAGTGATGAGTTGGGCTTTCGAGGTGAGGGTGATATGGTGTTGGAGGAGATGGTGTGAGGAATGAATGAGAGGTTTTGGGCAGTTGTGGAGCGAGGTTGAAAATATTTCAGAGAAGAGAGTGTAATGGAGACGTGTTACTGAAGCATTATGTTCCATTAGGAACCCAAGTGACAAATAAATAATAATAATAAATAGGTGAAAAAAGCCGTTATTTGCATTAGAGGAAATGATTTTTGAAGTGTGTTTCATACACCACTTATTTACATTTCCTTTACTTGTTGACGAATACAGTGTCATTTCACTTAATTGAACATATATTGGTTTTCAAAAGTAAGTACAAATTATATCATAAATATTTAATGTGATTAGCCTAATAACCGATGGGAAGAGTAAGTGTATGTGAACATTTTTAAAGGTTTACAAGGGAAGAGGAATTAAGTTTATCACTGATACAATTACAATCAACCATAAGGAATAAAGTAAGCGAAAGTCGTTACTTTAGAAGATTAAGCATTATTAGCTATGAAGGCAAACGTGATCAGAGTTGTACTCACAAAAGAGAGAATGCTATCCCCGTACTTAAATTGATTCAATCAAGTGTATCCCTGTTTCTACCAACTACTTCATCACACTGTCATGTTTTCACGCATTGAGTTTTCATTTGTAATGTCATAATATGGTTACTGCAAAGATTTATTAGCCTGACCCTAAGAAAGAAAACGGGGATTTTTGAGTCAGGTCATCAATAAACCTGTACTTTCTGAGTAAGAGTATCTCAGTATTATTTAACGTGACGAAAGCTGATACTTCAAAGGTAGTCATCATTCCCAAGGGGAAATTCACTATACTGTTTAGCTATAAACTTACCTTCTTTTTTTATGTTGATACACATCATGGACTAAAATCATAGGGAGAAAAATTGGAAAACTTGGGGTCGAAATCAAGTAGTCCAGATTCTCTAATTCTGTCATTTAACGACATATTATGACCTCCATTAAATGCTGTCTTTGAGTAATTGTCCTCACACCCTACGGGTCTGACCCCACCAGTCATGATGTTTCATAAGAACTTCGGGAATCTCATCTAGAAGAAGGTCCTTAATGAAAACTAGAATAATTCATCTAAGGGGCTTGAGGAGATTTATTTATTGATTTCAAGTTGATATTCATTACAATGTAGTCGTTTTGCTATATCGTGGCAGATGTAAGAAATGTGGACCATTCGATTCCAACTCAATGGCTAAAGAGTAATGCGGAACGTGAAGATCATGGATTTGATCCTTGACAGGGTCATGGATGCGAACTGCTGACGGGCCGTGAACCTAGTGTTCCTAGGTTTCAAGTCTTTCTCCAACTGATATCGGTCCAAAATAAACAACCTGAAATCAATAAAAATTCCCCACAAACCACCGGATTGAATTATCTCCTCTTTTTAAATTATTATTTTATTATTTGTCACTTGGATTCCCAGTGGAAATATGGCTTCAGTAGCACGTCGCCATTTCACTCTGTTCTCTGCAGTCCTTTGAATCTGGCTCCACGACTGCTCGGAAGCTTTCATTTCTTCCTCACACGATCTCCTCCATGTCACCCTCAGTTAGGATGCCCAACTCGTCATTTCGCCTTTGGCTTTCACTCAAGGATATGGTCTGGAGTGTGATGTCCCCAAAATATCTTCTTAGTGGATGTCTAGTCCAATCCATTTCCACTTTCTTCTGTATATTTGGTGGGCGATAGGTTGTTGGTTGGTCCGTTACCAGTCACCTATCTGGACTTAAGGCTGAGCATCCAGTGAGCGTAGGAGACAGCTGTTGATGGATGTCTGTAGTTCGTTGGAAATGCTTTTCGTGACGCGCCGAGTTTTTCAAGCATCACATAGAAGCACTGACTTAGTTGACATTAGTATTGAAGATCCGGATCTCTTTTACGCTTTATGCTGAGTGAAGTGTAGTGCAGTAGATCTCCACATTGATTTCAGATTAATGTAGGCTTGTCTTTTTGTCTTTTTGATCATCACTTTGACATCCTCATCTGTTCCACCGCCACCTGTAGTTGAAACGATACTGCCTAGGTAGGTAGGTGAAAGAGATAACTTCTTTTAGGTTTCTCCCGATGACGTTGTTAGTTAGGTATCATCATCACCTCTGTCTTCTCTAAGTCTATCTAAATTCCCGTTTACGCTGCCTCGTTCCTTCTATCAACCTGTTAGTTTTTGCCTGCAGATCCTCGAGTTTTTGCGACAGGACATTAGATAAATCATCGGCGGTGAAGTCCGAATCTTCTAGCGTCTCCTTATCGGTCCAGCCAGCTTTTGTCCATCTTTTCGCTCGTCACAGTCTCTTGGATGATCCAGTCCAGTCCAGTTCATCATAATCAGGAAGATCAGCGGTGAAAGTAGGCGGTAACCTTATCTTTCTCCTGTTCTCACTTCAAAGGTTCCGCTGGGCTTTCCATTGTGAATTACTTGGCAAGTAGTATCATAGAGCATATAGCTATTGAATGAGGTAGATAAAGGTTTGTGGCACTAAAACCTTAGTGTTGAAGCAGCTATCTGCCAAATTACTAATTGGTCGACGCTGTCGAAGACCATTTTAAATTCGATGAAGTTGACTGCCATTCTATACTCTGTTCTATGATGATGAGTAGCTTAGCATTGCGATATGATCCGAACATGATTTGTTCTTCTTTAAGCCAGCCAGCCTGTTGTGGTTGTAATTTTAAATCCAGAGCATTTCTTCTTGTTAAAATTTAGATTCAAAGTATACTTTATATCACTATGGCTGGGTTGATAAGATACTTCATTGACAGTAAAGTGAACATACTTTGGAAAAGTTAACTATATCCATAAGAAGCAATGGATGGGAAAATGTAAGCGGATTTTTTTTCTCCGCTACTTTTTTCAGTCATTTAGGTAACAGAAGTTCCACCTGAGCTAATAAATCCCGACAAAAAGCACCTAAATCATAAACTTTAATCGAAGGAAACGTTCAATTAGTTATATGCTTATAAATGATTTCGAAAATGAATTCAGGCTTTGAACTATCAACATTTGGCCTTGATTAACAGTGTAATTATTATTTGCGTTAAAAGAAAGTCGAAAATTCTTCTTATAATACATTTCATATTTCATACTATATTTTAAATTGACTCTAAAAAGACACTTAGTTTATTTTTCCAACGTTTTTTGGGTAAGAACATGGATCACTAGAAAATTGGAAGTCAAAAATTACATTTTATTATCAATGAAAATTGTTTAATTGGTCAGAGATCCGGAAATACTTAAATCACTCTATGCAAACAAGTATATGACTATAGATATAGGAAGAAAGTATGAATTCCATAGAAAATAAACTAGACAAAGTTATCAATGAATATTTTCAAAGAGAAGAAATGATTTGAAGCGTACTTTTATAGTTGTAGTTTACTTGACAGTGGCAAATATTGACGTTCATGAAGCGTGTTTCATACTGATTAGGAATCATCGGCTGGGTGTACCTGAAAGGAAGAGTGATGGTGTTCTCACCGATACTTGAAACCTGTATCCATGGCTTCAAATTCTAGTATGTTATCCACTAGGTTAGTGAGGCTCTCAAGTTAATTCCTGTGCAATGGGTATCAGTCATTATTATTTGTCGATACTTTAATTTCCAACTGTTATACACGATTAAGTTGATCAGCCTTTGTTGGCAATATAGAGTCCTAAGCGGATGCTTCGATGTTGCTTGTACGATCCGTTTAATTCGTCACTCATCAGCCAAATATAGTTGCATCCTAGTGTGCCATGGTTTTCTTATGAAGGCTCAAATCCAACAAGCATCACTTCAAATACCAGTGTTTGCGACTGAGCTAATACGTCACAAGAGCTACCTTTCAGTGAGAAGACCATCACTCACCTGGATGCCAGTACATCCTGCTGACAATCCTAAAATAGTACTAAATAAACCTCCTGAATTCACCTGCTAGCGATCATCAAGTTAATTACAGCATATTGAATAAACAGGTAGTATAGTGGCATTCACTTAGGAGCCCATCTGCCAACAGGCATCAATCCAATCGATCCAGTATAAGATGTTCAGATTAATTAGGTACGGGACAAATATATTAAAAATTAAAGTCCTTCGACGGGTCATTCAATAAGAATTTCGGCTTTTTTTTGAGTTAATTTAGTTGTAGAATAGGATTTTAATTTTTTTCTTCGATAAGATGAAGATGTCAAGGAGCGTTTTTATAAGATAGCCAGAAATAAACTGTTCACTACCTCTTAATCCGTCATAAAATAAAATCTGAGAAAGGAGAGCTTTTTTACACTATAGCTCAAGACAAGGGACCCGTATGATATTGATATCTATGACTACTGAAAGCTCATGTAATACCGTTCTTGGGTTATTTGCAAAATCAATGGCCGTTTATATTTTGATAATCGTAAAAGCTAAGGAAATTTTACCATTCAAGTTCAGTTGTTATAACCTACACATTTTCTTATTCACATACTTCAATAGTGTTGTCTTTCAGAGAATGATCCATATCAAGTTGATTGATATTTACTGAACCATAATAAGTAGGAGAACATATTAACTTATGAGTTCTTTTCGTATTGAGGAGAAATGAACTTATTTTAATAGTCTTTTCAGTTGTATCTAGTAGACGATATCAAGTATAATCAACATTTTCAGTTTAGAAGTTAAATTTTTCAAAGTATTCCGGGAAAAAGTTACTCAATGTTTGAGAACAGTTAGCGGTTACAAGAGGCTATCTGATGAAAAAGATGTTTCTGGTATGTAACCCAAAAAACTGAACTCACAAAATCAAACTAATGGTACACTTCAAGCTATTCTTCTTACAGGTAACTTGATATCATCAAAAATGAAGAATTTGAGCTAGTTAGCTAACGAAGTCTGAAAAGTTTTAATTCATTAAGTCTCAGATAATGTTATAGTAAATGTATTTCTTACCTAAAAGGTTGATTGGAATTATGCTGTAAGTGGAAAGCATTTTTATCCTTGAATGTCAGCTTCATAGTCATTATACAAGAATGCTACTGAGCATCTTAGTTGATATTTTCTTTACGCTTTAGTGAAACATTAAAAATATAATTCAAATGAAATGATGATGTGAAGGATCTGTATCTCAATAGTAATTAAGGTTTATCACAAATGTCCTAAATGAATTTCACATACAAATTTTATGTTTAACCCAGAAATATGTTGAGAATCTTATTAATTACTAATTACAATGTTTAGTTATCATTGTTTTTTTGTTTTTATAGCATAAACGTTCTCAATCCACATCAGTTGCAATATGTAAAACTCAAGATAGTAGACAGTCAATTCAAACTGCAGGATTTCAATTTCTTTCACATCAAACCTACTATCCTTTAATGATCGATGCAATAACAAGACAGTTGGATCTTATTGAAAAATGTTTGTTTACATTAATTTTTTTTTTCAAAATGTTTTAAGTGAAACATAAGTATTTTGTTGAATGTTTTTTGACATTAGATAATGATAGTTATATCAGATGAAATTCAATATATCAAGCAATTGTTTATTTATTAATGATAGGGTGTGGCTAGCAATGGAATCCAGGATGCGCATTTCGTCCTATTTGGGACTCGTCAGCTGGATATACCTGCATCACAGTGAATGATGTTGTTCCCATCGAGACTCGGACTCGGGAGCGATCGCTTCAAACGCTAGCGCGTTATCCACTACACCACCAAGCCACGATAACCACTTTTTGTGCGAAGCGTATAGGTTTAGTGTTATTCCTTGTATGACATCGTGGTTGATTGGACCAAATTGATCAGTCTCTGTAGGCATATGGGCTCCTATGCGGATGCGGATGTTTATTTGTTCTGAGAAATCAATGACTTTAACTTAGATGTCTAGTAAATAAATAAGTAAATATACAGATATGCATTTTGATGCATAATGAAATGTTTGAACTTTCTTATTGAAACTGTTTTTAAACTATGAGATACTGAAGTATGAACCACAACACCACTCAAAGTAATGAAATATATTTGGAAAGTAGATTAAAAACCTTGGCTTTAAATATATATATATTCAGTGTTTCTAAATCATTCAGGAGAACATAGAATGACAGTCAATTATCTACCTCAACTTCATCAATTTTGAAAAAGCCTTCGACAGCGTCAACCGACAAGTAACTTGGAAACTGCTTGCTTCAATACTACAGTCTCACTGCCACAAACCTTCATCAACCTCATTCAACAGCAAGATGCTATGTGATGTTACGTGCCACGTGATTCATAATGGAAATCTCAGTGACGCCTTTGAACTGAAGACAGGAGTAAGACAAGAATGCCCACTATCACCCATGATCTACCTCGTTTCGGCGGACTGCATCATGCAAGAGACAGCTGTGAAGAGCGAGGAGATGGGCATACGTTGATGATGATGATGATGATGATGATGATTTATGTCTTATCTCTTGTAGCACAAACTCGAAGATCTTTAGGCAAATACTAAAAAGTTAACAGAAGAGATAGCGAAGATGGAACTTCCTTCAAGTGAACATAGAGAAGACAGAGGTGATGAAGATACCCAACCAACACCAATACCACCACCACCAACAACAACAAGCTCTAATCACCATCAACGGAAGAAACCTAAAAGAAATAGCCTACTTCACCGAAATAGGCAAGGCTGCATCCTTTCAACTACAGGTGACACAGGCAAGTCAGGATCAGAAAGACAGCAAGACACGCCTTCCTTCATTAACCCGAAACCAGTGTAGACATCTACTGCACTACACTACACTACACTACACTACACTATACTACACTCAACATAAAGCGTGAACATCATCCGGATTTTCAACACCAATTCAGTCAAGTGAGCCAGTGATTCTGTGTGATGATTGAGAGACTTGACAGCGCGTCACCAAAAGCATTTCCAACAAACTACACATATTCATCAACAACTGACACCTACACTGGCTGGTTACTGAAGATCAGATGGATTGCCAGAATGGTGAGAATAAGTAACAAGGAACTGACTCTAACTGGCTAGTTGGTTGGCTGGCTGTCTGGCTGTCTGGCTGGCTGGCTGGCTGTCTGGCTGGCTGTCTGGCTGGCTGGCTGTCTGGCTGGTAACGAACCAACCAAGAAGCTGGTGCTGAAGAAATATGTTGAAGGAGGGAGTGGAGATGGATTGGACTGGGTATGCACTGAGGAAACCATTTGGGGATATCACGCACCAGACCAGCCATGTCAGGCTGTCTATTGTAACCCAGATGAGGAGTGATGAGTTGGGCTTTCGAGATGAGGGTGACATGGAGGAGATGGTGTGAGTAATGAATGAGAGGTTTTGGGCAGTTGTGGAGCGAGGTTGAAAATATTTCAGAGAAGAGAGTGTAATGGAGACGTGCTATTGAAGAACTATGTTTCATTAGGAACCCAAGGGACATGTTACAATGATGAAAATATTAATCATAATAATAAAATATCATGCAGCACTTGTCAGTAGGAAGTATTTGTGGCCATAATCAAATACATATTCCTTAATATAAAAATGAAACTTGGTCACTGTGGTACAATATAATTCCATTTTTGTTGGTTTCTTCGATGTATCACGTAGTGAATTATGATTATTATTTGTCCCTTGGGTTCCTAATGGAACATACCGCTTCGGTAGCATGTCTCCAGTGAACTCTGTTCTCTGAAATCTTTGCAGCCTGACTCAGCGACAGCCTATAAGCTCCCATTTCCTCCTCGCATGATCTCCTCCGTGTCACCCTCGAACGCCCAACTCGTCGCTTCCCATCCCAGTCCCATTCTAGTGCCTGACGCTTGATGTCCAAAGTCGGTCCTCTTAGTGTATGCCCATTCCAATCCATCTCCACTCCCTCCTTCTGCATATTTGTTGAATGATACATTCTTGGTTGGTTCGTTCCCGGAGTTCATTGTTGCTCACTCTTTCTGACAATCCAACTGATCTTCATTAACAAGCCAGTGTATGTGGCAGTTGTTGATGAATATCTGTAGTTTGTTGGAAATCCCTTTCGTAATGCGCTGCTAAGTCTTTGAGCCATACAGAAGCTCGTTGGTGTTGAAAATCCGGATGTTGTTCCACATGCTGAGTGCTCAGTCCAGTGCAGTAGATATCTACACTGGTTTCAGGCTAATGAACGCCTGTCTTGCTGTCTTTCTGATCCTGGCTTTGACATCCTCGTCTGTCCCACCTGTAGTTGAAACAGTGCTTCCTAGATAAGTGAAGGAGGTTACTTCCTTTAAGTTTCTCCCGTTGATGGTGACTGGAGTTTGTTGCTGTAGTTGTTGGTTTGGTATCTTCATCACTTCTGTCTTATCTACGTCCACTTGAAGGAAGTCCTATCTTCGCTGTCTCTTCTGTCAACTTGTTAGTTTTCGCCTGTAAATCTTCAAGTTTGTGTGACATCAGCCACACGTCAACACTGGCGAAACCCAGATCCTCTAGGTTCTTTTCCACAGTCCAGCCAACGTATCCCCCTCTTCTCACAGCTCCCCACTGTTTGCTGCATGATCCAGTCCACTAGACCACAATCAGGAATATCATGGGGGATAATAGGCAACCTTGTTTCACTCCTGTCTTCACTTCACTTCAAAAGCATAACTGAGCTTCCCATTGTGAATTACTTGGCTGGCATGTGGCATCTTCATATAGTTGTTGAATGAGGCTGATAAAGGTTTGTGGTATTCCGTAGTATTGAAGCAGTTTCCAAATTACCTCTCGGTCGACGCTGTCAAAGGCCTTCTCAAAGTGGATGAAGTTGAGGTAGAGTTGAGTTGACTGCCATTCTCTACTTTGTTCTATGATGATTCGTAAGGTAGAGTTGCAATTTTGTGCACACATGATTTGTACTTCCTGAAGCCTGCCTGTTCCGGTCGTAGTTTTGAATCCAGTGCATCCTTTAGCCTCTCCAGGATGATGCGGCTTAATATTTTGCTTGCTCCGGGTGGACAGGAGAGTGATTCCTCTCCAGTTTTTGTAAACACTGAGGTCTCCCTTCTTCGGCTTTTTGTCAAAGTATCCCTTTTTCCAATCTGCAGGTACCTTTTCTTCCTTCCACACCTCCTGCAGTAGTGATGTGAGCATGTCCGCTGTTGTCCCTGCGTCCGTTTTCAGTGTTTGTGGCGGGGTCCCATCTATGCTGCTGCTTTCCCATATTTCAGTAGTTTTATGCCGTTCAGGACTTCGACTTTTGTTGGAGGATTCATGTTCACCTGTAGTTCTGTGGCTGTGCTGTAGGTGGTATTTGTGGATGAAATGCAGGTGATGGTAGATTCAAGAGCTTCTTGAAGTGGTCAGCCTATTGTTTCCTTTGTTTCTCTTCTTTCGTAATTAAATTTCCTTCTTCATCTTTTATTGGTTTCATCTGTGTTGATCTCTTCCCTTCGAGATAGTAACCTGGTTATTTGATACAATGTTTACTGATCTCTGTCTCTTCTACCTGCAGCCTGTTCTGCTTCACTTGCCAGTGTTTCGTAGAAGTGTCTTTTGTCTTTCCGTGCACTCTTCTTCACTTCTTTGTCCAGTGTAGTGTTTTATACATTGTACTCAGTTCCTCTTGTCGTTGAGCATCCATGCACTGGTTTATTTTTTGCTTGACCTTCCTCCTCTCTCTCCTCTGTCAGCTTCCATTTGTCTACCGAGATCCATTCCTTGTCCTGTCTTCCTTCTTCTTCCTTCCTAGTACGGTTGTACAGGTTTCTTTCCACATAGCTTTCAAAGACTTCTAGTGTTCTTCCACACAGGTTTCTTCAGAGATGTTGCTCGATATCTCCCATTTTGTCTTGATAACTGACGTGAAGATTTCCTTTGTAGTTTCGTCCTTCAGTTTCCGAGTGTTGTACTTGAACTGTGGTCTATCACCAGCTTCCTTGAAGGCTTTTAACTTAATTTGGAAGGTTCCTTGCACTAGGCAGTGAGTGGTGTGAACCTACATCTGCTCCTCTTCTTGACCTTGTGTTCAGTAGACTGCGTCTCCATTTTCTCGAGATTGAGATAAAGTCAATTTGATTTTAAGTGTGTCCATCTGGTGAAATCCGTGTGTCTTTGTGTATATCCTTGAGCTTGAACACACTGCCTGGCCTCCAATCACCAAATCGTTGAATGCACAGAATTCTGCAAACAATTCTCCATTCTCGTTCATCACCTCACTGAGGGCTTCTCGACCCATGGCTAGTCCTCTTCCTGTGTTGTCCGCTCTCAGTTTGGCATTCATGTCGCCCATTAGAATTTTGATATCGCCAACTGAGGTGGGGCTTGTCCAGTGTTGATTGCAGTTGTCTGTAGAATTCCTCCTTTTTCTCTTGCTCTGCATTATTTGTAGGTGCATAGCATTGCATGATTGTAACCTTCCTACCTTTTGAGTTGAATCTTGCTGTCATGATCCTGATTGTGGAGGAGATTGGTTCCCACTGCATGAGAGCCTTCGATGCTCTTGGGGACTTCATGATATTACGTATTGAATGAACAGTGTTATTTACTGGATCACGTTTCAGATACAATTTACTGTCCATAATTGTATCAAGATAAGTACATGACTTTAAGACATGTTTTATATAGTTCCATTCCTTTGACATTCTTTGTGATGTAGATGATGTGGCTTTCCATATATCCGGAACAGGTACTGAGTCATCCTTACTGGATGTATTAGGCGTTGATTTGATAAACAAAGATTCGGTTTTCAATCCCTTTCCAGTCTTAAGGATTATCATCCTGTCCTATCCTATTGAGTGATTGTGTGAACTTGCATGTTTAGCTCTGTTTGAGCATTTTCTCAGATTCATTTTCTTCCTAGGATATAGCATTCTTGATCTAGCTAGGTTTTTGTGCTCTGATAGCTTAATTCATCCTGATCGACTATTTTGACCTATGTATTTAACCTCTCACTTGTTGCAATGAGTTTGGTAAACTAACTTATTCGGCTTAATTGGATAAATAAAATCTTCTAACCTACAAAATGCTACTTTAATCCCAGCTTTATTGAGAATGCTGTGTAGTATCTCAAAGTGGTAATAATGTACAGACTTTGAATTCGATCTTCCCAGAATTACAACTATTATTGTTGTTATACATTAATATTTCTGCTATCAACACCTATGTTACAAATATTAGTTATATTTTTCTTACAATTCCTAAGGAACTTATCAATTCATTTGGGAGGGTAGTCGTTGATGGGTAAGGAATCCTTAATATATCTGGTTTCTTGCCTCAGATATTCTGTTTTGCTAGGTAGTTTCTTGACTCCGTTACTTAGACATTTTACTAAGCCAACTTTACCTGACTCAAGGTGAGATGATTTGAAGCTTGAATAACTATTCGTGTGTGAAGTTATTCCGTGGAAATCAGTGTCTACAACTCCGTATTGTTTTCCGTTTATTCTGCAATCCAACAACGTTTATTCTCCTTCACTGTTTTCCAATTCATAGGTGAATTGGATTACTTTAACTAATAAATTTATGTTTGTAAAGAACCTAAACATGTGTTCCGATTTCAACACTGTAAACGTGTCATCTGTGTATTGAAACTTTACTTTTGGAGCAGGATTAAATATTTCACCTGTTCCCAACTATATGTCAGCCACAATCGAGGACTTTGGTGATCCCATTTCAACTATTTCTGCTTCTTTGTATATTTCATTCTGAAAGTTAAAGATTGTTCAAGTTAGGCATAACTGTACTCCTAAAGTGATCTCTTCTCTGGTACCTTAGTTCGTAGTGCAGTGAGACTTAGTTTCCGTTGGTGATTCAAAATTGTGTGACGCAGTGCTGAAGTCATTGGCTTTACTCCCTGTGAAAGCAGTAAGTACCAAGCAGTTACATCAATTACCCATTGGGGATCATTTTGTGAAAGTTAGTACGTAACAGAAAAATGAGGCTGATGGACGTTTGGGAGTAACTGTAATTTGTGGCTTGTGTTATTTAGAAGATATTAAAGCGAACAATATTGTTTTCAATTAGCTCTCATCAGGCTTTTCCCTATTATACATAAATTTTCTCATACATAAAACATTCAACCAATCATGGTGGATTATTTACTGAGTGATAATTAGAAAATGAAACATGTAAACAGTAGATAATGGCAAGAGTAATAATTATCTCAATGATGGTAAGAACAAGGGGAACTGCAAATATTTAAACAAACAATATCGATGAAAGCTTAAAAGGAGGGAAGTTACGTAATACTAAAGGATGAAATCTGTATGTAATCAAAGTCTAAACAAATTAATAAACATGTGTGGAAGGCTGGGGACCTGGGGGGGGGGGGAGGGAGGGGAAGCGGAAGAGGATGAAAATTGAATTTATATAAAGATATTTATCAGGTTTTTTCTGCCTCATGCAGAGACAAAGGCTGCACAAACTTTTTCTGAACACAAAGACAAGGTTCGTTTTCTCTAATTCCCATTGCCTCAGCCGTATGTAAAATGCGGGTGCGAATTCTGTTGGAAAGATTTTGTGGAATTTGATAGATGATCTTGAACGCTTTGGTCTTGTCTATTACTTGACCACTGTCGACTGAATGTGACAGAATTGAGCTTCGTATTGACTTCACTTATCCTTTTCCTGTCCATGACGGTAGTGGCTCAGCAACAAGTTTGTTAAGCTGCCTGGTTGTACGCCCAATACAGCTTTCTCCAAAGGAGCAGCTTAATTGATAAATACATATCGAAGTGGCAGAACTAGGTAGCTTGTCTATTGTCTGGGTAATAATTATTGGCGGACTAGAAAATGATAAGCAGAGGTTAGCAGCATAAAAGGTTCTTCTGATGGCTGTAGACAGCCTGTCTTGACCAGAGAAAACCTGATAAATATCTTTATATAAATTCAATTTTCATCCTCTTCCGCTTCCCCTCCCTCCCCCCCCCCAGGTCCCCAGCCTTCCACACATGTTTATTAATTTGTTTAGACTTTGATTACATACAGATTTCATCCTTTAGTATTACGTAACTTCCCTCCTTTTAAGCTTTCATCGATATTGTTTGTTTAAATATTTGCAGTTCCCCTTGTTCTTACCATCATTGAGATAATTATTACTCTTGCCATTATCTACTGTTTACATGTTTCATTTTCTAATTATCACTCAGTAAATAATCCACCATGATTGGTTGAATGTTTTATGTATGAGAAAATTTATGTATAATAGGGAAAAGCCTGATGAGAGCTAATTGAAAACAATATTGTTCGCTTTAATGTCTTCTTCTAATTTTGAAAATGGGAATTTCTAAGATTATGTAATTTAGGGTAAGGATATCATTGTGATAGTACTTGCCACTCCACAAACTATCAGTTGCCCATAAAAATATCCTGTAAACAGGTTTCAGGCTAAAACTTTTCAGAGTTTACTTTACGGTGAACAGTTATATTGCTGTAAACATTAGGTTAGGCAACTTTCAGTCTGTTGAAATATCCATTAGTAATAGAGTAGACAATCTACCATTTATGATTATTAAGTGTTTATTCATAGTTATTTGTGCTACCAGGTTTTTACTTTTTACTGCGGAACAAAACTGGCATTATACCCGAGGAAATGAAAATTGTTTAAGTTTTTAAACGAACGAAAGTAGACCAGTACATCCAGCCAAAGTGCCAAGCAAAATCTAGTAGGTCACAGGAAAAATGTGATCGATTTCTAGAAGTTACTATTCAATACACTGATTTCATCCTCTTGGTTTATTTCCGAAAACATTAAAAACTAAGTGACTGAAAAGGTATTATCATGGAGTCTATCAATGGGACACTTTAGGTGCGTGGATGTTTAATGACTATATGACTCATAATCACCATCATTTGTCCCCTGGGTTCCTAATGGAACATAATGCTTCAGTAACACGTCTCCATTACACTCTCTTCTCTGAAATATTTTCAACCTCGCTCCACAACTGCCCAAAACCTCTCATTCATTCCTCACAACATCTCCTCCATGTCACCCTAGCCTCGAAAGCCCAACTCATCACTCCTCATCTGGGTTACAATAGACAGCCGGACCTGGCTGGTCTGGCGCGTGATCTCCCCAAATGGTTTCCCCAGCGCATACCCAATCCAATCCACTCCAATCCATCTCCACTCCCCCTTTCTGCATATTTCTTCAGCAACAGCTTCTCGGTTGGTTCGTTGACATCCAGCCACAGTGAGTTCCTTGTTGCATATTCTCACCATTCTGGCAATCAATCTGATCTTCAGTAACGAGCCAGTGTGGGTGGCAGTTATTGATGAATGTTTGTAGTTTGTTGAAAAATCAATTTCGTAACGCGCCAACAAGTCTCTCAACCATCATATAGAAGCACTGCACTGGCTCACTTGACTGAATTGGTGTTGAAAATGCGGATGATGTTCACGCTTTATGTTGAGTGTAGTATAGTGTAGTGTAGTGTAGTGTAGTGCAGTAGATGTCTACACTGGTTTCGGGTTAATGAAGGAAGGCGTGTCTTGCTGTCTTTCTGATCCTGGCTTGCTTTAACGTCCTCGTGTGTGCCTGTGTCACCTGTAGTTGAAAGGATGCAGCCTTGCCTATTTCAGTGAAGTAGGCTACTTTCTTTAGGTTTCTTCCGTTGATGGTGATTAGAGCTTGTTGTTGTTGGTGGTGGTGGTATTGGTGTTGGTTGGGTATCTTCATCACTTTTGTCTTCTCTATTTTCACTTGAAGGAAGTTCCATCTCCGCTACCTCTTCTGTTAACTTGTTAGTTTTCACCTGTGCATCTTCAAGCTTATGTGACATTAGACATAAATCACCATGGACGAAATACAAATCTTCTAAGATCTTTTTCCTTGTCCAGCGTATCCCCCTCTTCTTGCTCCTCACAGTTTGCTGCATGATCCAGTCCACCACAATCATGAATATCATGAGTGATAGTAGACAGCCTTGTTTTACTTCTATCTTCATTTCAAAGGCATCACTGTGCTTTGCATTGTGAATTACTTAGCATGTGGCGTCTATTATATGTTTATTTCGATTTTCGATGAGCACATTATGAACAACCAATTGTATTTCAAATTATTAAAAAGACATTTTTATGTTCTTCTGTTTTATTTTATTTATTGACTGAAATCTATGTTTATGCTTTCCTTCTTTTCGTTACATAAAAATTCTTCTACGGAATCTTATTGAAATTTCAAGTTGTCACCATGATTGAACAAATGATAACTGCAAAACAATCGTATTATATGGCAGTGAAAGATATTTGTGCAACCTTCATTGAAAGTAAAAAGGATATGGATTGTGTAAAGTAAGTTTAGAGTATAATTAAGGATATATTTGATAACAGTAGCCATTTTATGCTGAAGTTGCTAATCATCATCGTAATCCAAGAAGCTAGAAGTATTCAACTGTAGCCTAAAAGGATACGGAAGGAAATAATAGTTTGAGTTGTTTTTTCCATCTAGCTACTTTTGTTGAACTGAAATTAATAGTTTACGGTTAACTCAAGCGTCGTAGAAAGATGATGTACTCAAAGAAGATTACATATGTATGCCTTTGTATAAATGACTCGTACTTGAGAGATAATCTTGGAAATATGAGTTATATAAGTCATAAACAGACTATTGGTCTGTCATCAGCGTATCTGAGCTTCAGTATCAAAATCATAAATCAAAGGCTTGACACATCTTTCAATAATCATTGGTTATAGCAGCAGGATAAACGGAACTGAGTGACACAAAAAAAATAATCAAATTAATAAACAAGCGCTTAGTTACAACATTCATTTATTCGTACTGGGGTCATATTGTTTACCAATCATGAATTGTGATCTGAGTTGCTACTCCTTCCAAATAATAATGGAATTCTATTTGACGGTAATTATGCATCCATTGAAATTGTCAAGCTGTATGCTTACAAAACTAAATGATATAAATTGTTTTTTAAAAATTGAGTTTAATTCACAATGGGAAGCTCAGTAATGCTTTCAAAGTGAAGACAGGAGTAAAACAAGGCTGCCTAATATCACCCATGATATTCATGATTGTGGACAGCTGGACTGGATCATGCAGTAAACTGTGAGGAGCGAGATGAGGGGGATACGCTCAACCGGAGAAAAGATCTGAGAAGATTTGTATTTCGTCCATGGTGATTTATGTCTAATGTCATATAAACTTGAAGATGTACAGGTGAAAATTAACAAGTTGACCGAAGAGGCAGCGTCAGGCCCTCGAGTAGAACCCAGATGGGGAAGCGACGAGTTGGGCGTGTGAGGTGAGGGTGACATGGAGGAGGTCGTGAGAGGAGGGAATAAGAGCTTGTGGGCTGTCGTGGAGCCAGGTTCAAGAGATTTCAGAGAACAGAGCGCATTGGAGACATGCTACAGAAGCCCTATGTTCCATTAGGAACCCCAGGTTCAAATAATATAATATAATAAATTGAGTTTAAGATTTTAGTGAAACAGAAGTTTCACGTTTTCAAGCTAATTTTATCATATATTGCTATAGAAGGCAGTGAAGATCTCAACATATACTGTATATGATTTTCAGGTGTTTAAAGACGGTAATCGAGGAGTTTTAATCAAGTTAGCTGTAGTGTTAACTAGTGTGTGGGAATCAGATACAACCCCTTCTGACTGGTCCTAATCAATGGCTATCCCAGTTTTCGAGAAAGGAGACAGGTCTTCCAGTGATAACCACAGAGGACTCGGCCTGACGAATATAGTTTTCAAGATTCTAGGCTCTATAATCATTAAACGTTTGAGTGGAGCCCAGGGACAGGAACCCAAGAAACCAGGCAGGCTTCCAACCTAGCTGTGGAACGCAGACCCACTTACTGACACACCCGACACACGTGGCACTCCTTGACCTGAATGGGGCATTTAATTCCGTAATTTAAGAGGTTCTATGGTAGTGTCTCGCAATGAAAGGATGTCAGGAAAGCACATCAATCTGTTGAAGGTTCTTTACTTGAATACCAGTAGATATGTTAGAGTCTATGGTGAGTTGTCACGTGAGTAGTGTATGTCAAGAGGTGTGTTTCCAAGGTATATACTTTCACCAATTCTATTCATTTTTATCATACATGTAACTAAGCAGGTCTCCCTCTTGTCATGTGACTTCATAGGGGTTGATTTAAACACGGGAGATGCCTTGATGGATCTAGAATATGCAAACTATGTAGTTCTATTAGGTAAAGGCGCCACCAAGATGTGGAGTCTTCTAGACACATTGAGTGGCAATTTGAGAATGTTTGAGTTTTGTTTCTTGCCACTTAAATGCAAATTATTTCTGCAGGACTGGTCTTCATTGGCGCCCTGGCTAACAGTAGGGAGTGGAGTGGTTGAGCATATTGAAAACTCTACTCATCTGGGAAATCAGATCAACCTTGGCGGGTCAGTGGCCAAAGAAGGTTTTGCACATATACAAAAGGCTAGACTGTATTTCGCGAACTCATGCCGTCTGTGGCTTCGCCACGACGTCAGATTGCCGACTAAGGGTGGAGCATACTGCACTGCATTTCATCTTGTTTTACTCTACGGTTGTGAAACGTGATCATCAACGTTGGAGGATAGGAGGGAGCTTCAGTTATCTAACTACCGTTATCTTTGTCGAATAAATTGTGTGTCAAGGTGTCACTACACATTGACGCAGGTGTAAAGTTTAAGGGGGGATAGTTGAGTCAGTTGATGAGGTTGTGAACCTTCATCGACTAAGGTAGCTGAGATATGTGTTACGCATGTCTAGTCACTGTCTTCCCTGTCGCACAATGTTCGTTGAATTATGTTAAGGCCGAGAAAAGGCTCGGGACGGTCAGGCTTAAACATAGTATCAGTGCATGGAGTCTTTGACTGCTAGTCTGAGCCTTACAGAGAGATGCAGTCAACTTGTTGTGCTACGTCCCCTAAATCTTTTTGAAGAAGTTCTCATAGAAAAAGATGTTTAAACTTTTTATCGAGAAAACATAAATTGTAGTCACTGAGATAGATGTTGGTTACTTCGAGAACGGAAAACAGCTTTACCTTACACATCTTCTATCTAGAAGACAGTCATACTTGTGATTTCCTTTTATTTTGCTGGGTCGAATTGTTCGACATCTATTAGCATATGGGCTTCTAGGCATATGCATCGATACTGTCTGAATATCTATTATGATGAGTTACTTGGTTGTGGCTAGCAGAGGGGTGCAAGATTTGCGTTTTATCCTACTAAGGACTCTTCAGGTGGATGCACCGGCGCCCCAGTGAGTGATGCTGTTATCATTGAGAGTCGAACCTCGTACAAAAACAACAAAGGTGGCTATCATGTCTCAGTGGTCTAGCAGATAACATTTTGACGTTTGAAGTGACTGGTATGAGGTTTGAGTCACAGTGGAAACAACATCGCCTACTGGAGTGCAGGTACATCCAGTTGACGAGTCCCAAGTACAATGAGACGAACGTCCTGGATTTCTTTGCTATTTACAACCAAGTGAATCATTAGAGAGCAGACAGTTAGTTTGACGTCAATATAACAAGTTCAGGAGACAAGAATTCATATTCTTTGTGTGGTAAAGATTCGTTCTGTGTCCGATTTGATATTGAAGTATGGTAAATTGTTTCCTGTAGAGAATATGACTTTTTAAGTTAATACATAGATTTTATAAATATTAAAGATCCACGAAATTTTAAAATTGTTTTCAAAAATAGAAGTTTGTATAGGTATTACTTTGTTGGCATTTTTAAATGTTTAGGAAATTCTTCCCTTTTCTTAAAGTTGCATAAAATGATATCATATTGGGGAAAAGCGAGAAGATGGGCATACGCTGGCTGGACCAATGAAAAGAGCCTGGAAAATTTGTATTTCGCTGCCGATGATGATTTATAGCTAATGTCCTGTCACAAAAACTCAAAGATTTACAGGCAGAAACGAACAAGCTGATAGAAGAGATGAGGCAGCAAAGACAGGATTTCGTTCAGGTGAACGTAGAGAAAATAGAGGTGATGAAGATACCCAACCAACAACAACAACAACAGCAACTACAAGCATTAATCACCATCAACAGGGGAAACCTAAAGGAAGTAGTCTCTTTCACCAGTAGTAGGCAGTGGAGCATCGTTTCAACTACAGGTGGCACAGGCACAGACGAGGATGTCAAATCAGCCAGGATCGGAAAGCTAGCAAGACAGTGTGGGGATCTTCTACACTGCTCTCAGCATAAAGCGTGGACACTATCCGGATTTTCAACACCAATTCAGTCAAGTGAGCCAGTGCTTCTATGTGACAGTTGAGAGACTTAGCGGCTCATTACGAAAGGGATTTCCAACAAACTATAGATATTCATCAGCAACTGCCACCTACGCTCGATACTGAAGATCAGATGGCCAGAAAGAATGAGCAACAAGGAACTCTGGGAACGAACCATCCAAGATTCTTTCGCCCAGCAAATATGCAGAAGGAAGTGGATTGTGCACACACTGAGAGGACTGATTGGGGATATCAAGCGCCAGTCCAGGTCGTCGAGTGGAATCCAAGTTGGGAACGACGAGTTGGGCGTCCCAATTGAGGGTAACATGAAGGATATCACGTGAGGAAGAAGTGGAAGCTTGTGGGGTGTCGTGGCGCCAAGTTCAAAAGACTGTAGAGAACATAGTGGAATGGAGGCGTGCTACGAAAGCCCTATGTTCCACTAGGAAACCCAAGGGAAAAATAATAATCATAATATTGGTGAAAATGTGAAACTTATTTTCTCCTTACTTTGGTGAGCACTTTGTGAACTGCGAATGCTATAAAAATAAATCATCAACACTCATTGCTACGTAATGAATATCTGACCGTCTTTTGACTATCTGACATAGCCGTGTTGTGGTAGAGTACCGTTGATACTCGATGATGATTAGAGGTGAAATGAAAATCTGATCCAGAAAACCAGAGATGGATGTGTGTAGATGACTCATTATCTGTTGATTCTGTCTACTTATATATCGTAATTGTTTTGTCCATATTGACTGGCTATTTCATTAGTGAAATAACTTTATGTCATACACCTTACATTAGGTATTGTGTTTCATCCATTCTCATGGATTTATAGCTATACAAACTGAAGAGATAGGAAGTTACTGAAAACAGTTGTTCATTCAAATTATCGTTGTTTAAAATATCTTGCTCATGTATTTCACCCTTATGAAATAGTACATTTCTATAGGTGGGAATAGGAACTGAACAATATTTTACTGATATGACTGGTGATCATTATTATACACTGTAAATAAGACCCTAGTATTCACGATCGTTAAAAGCATGACAACAATGATAAGAATGAAGCAATTAT